GGGGAGTGTGTCCTGAGTATATAAATGGCACCTTTCCCCAGATCCCTTGATTTCAGCCCAGGGTTCCACAGTAATGGCAAATACTGCAGAAAACATAACAAGAGCCCTAGAAAACCAAATGCCAGAGGGCAGAACTGCACCACCACCCCCCGCCAACTGCTGGAATCTATCTTCCAAGTCGAAGCAGAACCACCAGACTGAAGTACCTCCCACTCACAATCTAAGAGATGGTCAGGAAGGATATCACAGTTGAACAAGGTACATTCTATCATTGCTGGTGGTCATGCATTTATGTTCAGAGGTTTTGGTCCAAGGTAATCTTGTCTATAAAAAATATTACGGGTTATTTGATACCTTTGCAACCTGAGCTTATATTGTTAGATCTTTGGAGTGACCCTCATATCCCTAAACTCTGCATAATACATATCCCTAAACTCTGCATAATACAATTTCAATTAGGACCATAAAGAAAATTGTTCAGTAGAAAAATAACCAGGCACCAAGTAAATATGCACATACAATCTTTTTAGTGCAATCACTAGCCCAGTAGATATAAAAATTCAACCAATGGTCCACAAATAACCTTCTTGGATTGTGCTGCCACAATAAGCACAAATAATTATTTTTATTTGTGCTTATTGTGGCAACACAATCCAAGAAGGTTATTTGTGGACCATTGGTTGAATTTTTATGGTCCTAATTGAAATTGTATTATGCATACATTTTTGATTGTGTTTTTATGAGTGTAACTACTTACCATCTAGCCACAATTGTATGACCTCTGAGGAAGGCCGATCCGGCCGAAACGCGTCAGGTCATTTGTTTTAGCCCTGGTTATGATTATGAATTATGTATATTGGCTGTAATTGGGCCCCTATATATGTTTTAATTTGATATTATCAATAAATACATGTACTTCTTTTTATGAATAGGTTTTAATATTGGCCCACTGTCCACTTGAGAACCTTGCCCCTGGGGGCGGGGGTAGGATTTGTAACCGGCTAATGGCTGGAATCTGTTCCCTTTGGTTGCCACCTTTCACCAGTTGGTGAAGACACTGTTTTGTTTGGTGTGCCCTTAGTGGTCCCTCTTTCCTGCCTAGTGTTGCAACTGTTGTTTTTAGGTCTTAGCATGTATTTTAGCTCCGTTTTCAATGGTTTTAATGGCGTGGTATAAAAGAGCAAGAGTCCAGCAGCAGCACCTGAAAGACTCACAAAATTTGTGGCAGGCTATACTTCCACAGACACCAGTGATGTGGGGGTGTGTTGGGGGAGTAGTCTTAATGGTTTTGAAATGAGATATTACATGTGCTTTCATTTGTTAGCTGCCTTGGTGGACCTTGTGAGGTCGGAAAGGTGGGATATAAACTTTGTAAAAAAAAAAAAAAACTAGTCAGGATTCCCATCTATTCCTAGAAGCAATTTAGCATGCTCAATGGATGCTCAGCACATACTGGGTAGTGATAAACAGTGAGAGAAGAGGCCACGGTGCAGCCAGAATTTGTTGAACTGGGGGGTAGAGGAGGGAGGATTCATTGTGGTCTTGAGGATGGCCAGCATCAGGGCTATTTTTGGGCAGGAACGCACAGGAACGGAGTTCCGGCTGGCTTCAGAGTTGGCCACGCCCACTACAGCAACCCCCCCCGGAAACTCCTAGGCGGGCAGGCTAGGGGGGCCCCTGAAGGATCGGGGAGGCACTTAAATGCCTCCCCATGCCTTCCCCAGCCCGTCCAAGGGCCAGCTTGCCCAGGCACCCCATAGCCACGGGGTGCCCGGGCAAGCCAAGGGAAGGCAGTTCAAAATGCCTTCTCTATCCTTCAAGGGCCGG